TGGAGGTATTATTAATTCAAATATAAAAGAACTTTTCCTTATTGAAACACTATCTTGTTTTCATTCTTGGTTAAAGCACTTTAATTAAAATATTTAATTAGTTTTCAAATTCTGTTTTTATCAAAGAACAGTTGGAACTGATTTTTTTAAACCTAAATCACCTAATATTTTTTTTCCTAGCCATATTCATTGAACATTTCATTTTATTCACAAATTCAGTACAGTCCCTGGGGTGGTCAGTTAATAAACATTTCATGACAAAGATATAAGTAACCTTTTTTTTCAAATTAGAAAACCTTATTAGGGAATATTTAAGATTTCTGAACCATGGCTGCCTCCAGAGAATGCTCGATTGGTTGAATGTTTAGTAACGTCGCACTTTAAAATATGAGTGAAATTGGCAACAAACTTCGTAATTTTCAGTCAAGTGACGAGGACGACACTTCAGTTAAAATTCCTCTAAACTTCCACACCACGTTAACACGAGGACTTTCAGCCTTGAAGGGTCTACGAAGAGTCTCATGCATAACACTTGATTCAGTAGCAATGAGCGTGTGATGATTTCTTGTCCTATTGCCACTGAAGATCCAGTGTAGAGAGATCAACGCCCGTTGAATCTGTTGAAGTTAAAAGTCCTCCCATTGGCGAGGTGTGGAAGTTCGGAGAGGTAAATAACTCTCCACTTGATCCTTTTGCGTTTCTCGCCAATAACCCTCTTGCTGCTTTTGACTGTAATGTTAAGAAACGAACTCACACTCAAAAGGGGAAGGCACGACTAAGGAAATCCATTTGGGAACGAGACTTTGTGTAATAGTAGTACCCCTTTAGGGTGTTCAACCCTCAATGTATTTGCGCCGAATGGCCAATCAATTCGGAGAAAATAACGTTCGAAATTCATGCTTAGCTTATATACAATTTAATGTTCATTAACGTCACAGCCGCGGTAGCATGGATGATAGTGTAACTGCTTGTAGTGCAACCGGCTAAGATTCGAGTCCCGCGATCATTTTTTGTTTTTGTTTTATTTCTTCAATTCATTTAATTATATTCACAACTAAATGAATTAATTTGAAAACACGCGTGACTTATTAAATATTTTTAATTATAAAATAATTAAATTAGTTACTATATATAGTATATAAGGTATATCATGTTTATTATATTAATTACAAAGTAATTTTTTTATAAATAATTGTAATAATATATTTTATATTTTATTGAAATATATATAGATGTAATATTTTATTGATAGTATATTGCATTTCATATTATAAAACTATATATTTATAACTAATTTTTATATAAAACATCTTTTACTATTTCTTAATTTGTATTACTAAATTTATTATAATTGTTTCAATAAAAAAGGTATATACTTTTATTATAAATATTATTTATTAATAATTATATTTGTAAAATATAATATAAATATTTATATAATTACAGTAATTATTTCACTTTTTAAAATACAAAATAACTATCTAAAATAATATCAAATATTTAATAAATATTTTTTCATTAATTTATTTAATTCTGAAAATAATTAAATGAATTGAAGATATAAAAGAAAAAATTTGATGGCACGATTCGAACTTTGGCCGGTTGTATAGTAAGCAGTTAAGCTATCATCCAAGCTACCGTGTCTCTGATGCTAATGAACATTCAATTGTATATACGCTAAGCCTAAATTTTGAACGCTCCTTTCTCCGAATTCATTGGCCATCTGGCGCTAATACATTGAGGGTTGAACACCCTAAAGGAGTACTACTATTACACAAAGTCTCGTCCCCAAATGAATTTCCTTAGTCGTGCCCTCTCCTTGTCAGTGGCAGTGAGTTTTTGGCCAGAATCTTATGAGAATAAGCGAGAGTGGCATTAACATCGAAGTATAAAGCTGCAATAGAGAGCTATTGGTGACAACAATCGTAATTTTGAAACATAGTCAAGAGATGAGGACGTCACCTGAGTTAGAATCCCACCTCTCCTAACTGTAATACCACATCAATTGGAGGACGTTTGAGTCTCGACAAATTTAACGTGTATATATATATATATATAAATAATAAATATATATATAACGGCCTTCTTTCTCTACATAGTGTATCTTTAGCGGCACTGGGCTCGAACTCATGACATGCCAGGCCCGAGTCAGTGACCTTGACCACTGGGGTATCGCGGCCACAGTGCAGAACTGCAAAAAAGCAGATGAAAACACTCAATAATTTAAACGATAACATTACAACAGAGTATAGCTATCATAAATAAATTTAGAAAAACTTTGTTTTACCTAGATCTATGTGTGTGCTTAAATTATTCCAAATTATCTTTATTTCTAATTAATTTATTTCTGAATTTGAGAGTTGTGTCACATATAAAACGACAGGAAGAGTATTAAAAATGATTTCATACCCTTTCCAGGAGATCTATTACTAAATAGCCTTAGCTAGTAATATTGCGGTTGATATCCTGTCGAGTTCTTGAGAAAAATTGCTACCAAAACAACATCATTAAGCAGCCCCCAAGGATCTCAAAAACCGCATTGCTGTTGCCGTGAGGGTAGTTAAGTGTAAGAGCTTTCCTACAGCGAGTTTTGATAACTACCTTGAAGCTTTTTAATGGATTAAAAATGTCTCGAGGAGGTATTTTGAAATATCAGATGTTCTTAATATCGTTTTAAGTATTACTCACACACGCTTTGGGTTTGAAGATCTAAAAAAATGAAAAGTGTATTGATGTTTTTAAAATTGCTTTTAAGGTTTTATCTGTGGTGATCTGCGATAACTGCCCTGAAAATTACTGTACTTCATGATCTAATTTATGGAATTTTCTTGGGCTTACGATCTATATTGGGTATAAGGGAAAGTTCTGTCATTTTTGAACACGTGAATTTGTATGCGTTGTCGATCCTTAGTAAGAATTCGGAACAGTCAGAAACAGGTTCAGAAAGTTAGATTAATGTATTATTGTGATTTATACACACTTTTTTGCATTTTACTCGTTTTTTTTTTACTTGTAAAACTGTCAGAATGAGTGAAGAAAAAATGCACTTTAGGCATTGTTTGAGTTAAAAACTGGGAATAATACGCGATGGAGGCAAAAATAAACTTGTGTGACGTATTTGGAGAGGAAGCAGTAACTCGAAGATGCCAAAGAGGGCTTGTGAAACTTTTCTTGGGTGATTTTTCTTTGAAACCGAACCCAGTTCAGAAAATACATTAGATGTCAGTAACGGAATGCTACGCAGTATGACCAGAAAAAATGTTATGTTAAGTTCCACTGAAATGGGCTTCAAGCTTGGAATTCATCAGACTAATGATTTGGATTTCATTAAAACGCTTGGTGTTATGTCTAAATTCACTGTTTGTGCACTACACGAACTTAGCAAAAAATATATAATTAACACAATTTTGATATGTTCTTCAAATCGTGCTCGTCACAAAAAGGAGCCGTTTTCGGACCACTTGATGACTTGAGATGTAAAGTGGACAAACACGAGGTTAGAAAAAAGTAAATGTTTACAAAAGGGAGACATTATCATCCGCATCTACCGGCTGGGTGACGTAGTTGGTTTGTCGCTGGCCTTCTGCAACGAGTAGTGACTTCAGCACAGCAGGCAAATAGAGAGATTGAAAAAAAAAACAGCATAAATGAGAAACGGCATCCAGGACAAAGGAAGGCAAACAGCGACATCTGGTAGCAGATCCAGCGTCAGGAGTAGTAGTATGAAAGGCAGGCAGCTACTGCGTCGGTAGCAGATCCAACAGCAGCATAGAAGGCCGATTAGACTAGGGTCACAATATGGAGTGACCCGGAACCGAACCCGTCACCACACCTGATGTCTCGGAGTCCGGGTTACCAAATGTGGGATGCTAGTCCACATATACTCAGTTAAATTACTCAACCAAGTTGTACAAGCTAACTGGTAACTATTTACAGTATGGTAGAATGGCAGCGCCACATCTACGTAGTGAATGGTAAACTATGTACAGTATGGTGAGCGAATGACAGCGCTTCCTACTAGTAATAAAGTAATGGCGCCACAAATTTATTTCAATTTACAAGTATATGTTGCTTTGATTTTCAAAATCTTAATTGTAATGCATACTGTACAGCTAAAAATGCTCAGCGAAGCCTTAACTATAACTGAATTCTTTTTATCTCATGTCACCGTTCCTTTAGTCTCCGGGAAAGATTTCCAGACAAACGATTCCTTTAAAGCCATTGAATGAAACTTCTATGGGTTCTGTTTTGAAGAGATGATCTGTTATGACCCCTGGTTATTATCAAATACTCTAAGCAATTTTAATCGATAGTGTCCTCCTTTGTCTACATAGGGGTTCTACTACTATCATTATTTTTAACACACAATTTTCTATTCACACACACACACACAATAACCTTGGTTTTATACAGTAAGGAAAGCAGGGGAAACTTTAAATTTCAAACCTGTTTAGGAAAGATATGAAAGATCCATGGTCCGTTATAAAATTAGAAACTTATGATTGATTTGTAATTTAATACTTACTTTTATCATGTTCAATCTAATTCACCTGGTAAGTTAACTTACCAGGTTAACTTAACCTCTATTCTGTTTAAGAATGTTATCCTAAGCAATATATTCAGATAGAAAAAAATTTAATTAATTCACTTTTTTTTTCTTTATTTGGTTAAAATAAAGGCTTTGTAAATTAATGCAGTTTTTAATTTTTAGCTTGATATTAAAATGTATCACTCATATACATTTATTTTTTAATTCCTAATATTAGTTCACATTCTCAACCTATATATATATCTTGTTCAAATTTTCAATCGTTAATAAAATACTTTCTATCCATCCATTTAAGTTAACAAACATTTTTTTTAAACTTGTAGTGAATGCCACTTGATGTTCATGCAGTTTTTCATATATTAAGTCATTAATTTAATTAAGAAATGAATAAATAGAAATAAAAATAATATTCCAATAGCAGAAAAGAAAGTTAAGTCATTCGCTGTGTCCTTGTAACGCAACGGATAGCGAGTTGGACTTCTAATTGAAAGGTCGTGGGTTCGATTTCCACCTAATTTCTGAAAAGGTGTTTTCTTTTTTTTTACTATACTATTTTATAGGAATAAATAAATTTAATTAAGGAATACATAGAGTAACAAACAAAAATAGTAGTCCAACACCCTATATATAAAGGAAAATGGAAAATTGCAAGGGAAATTACTTTATATTTTTTCACTTAGTATTGCGGTTCTTTCATATGTATATACATAATTATATTAATTATAACTTTTTAATAAAAAAGTAACTAAAATAAAAATTTTCTTTGTTGACTTACATAGGTAATGATTAAAATTTTTTTTTATATTACTTGTGTTAAGTAATGGTCCTCAGAATGACACACAAACCTTATTAAATATTAATTTTTACTATCTTAAACAATGTGAACGATTTCCATAACCGCGGTAGCCTAGTGGTCAAGGTAACGGACTCATGACCGGCGTGTTATTATTTCGAGTCTGAAGACCACTGAAGACTTTCATACCTATCTGTTTGAAGGAAGTGGGTCGAAAAGTTTTTTGTTTATCAGATATATAGTGGCATTTTTCCCAAAAAGGTTGGTCACCTCTGGGTTAAGGTAACATATTAGTGACCAGAGTGTCAGGAGTTTGAGCCCAATAATTCTGAAGACCAGCCGTATGCAGGCTAATACACGTAAAATCGGTTGATACTCAATCGTGTCCTCCCATTGATGTGGTGTGGAAGTTGGGAGAGACATTGCCATCTCAGGTGTCCTCCTCGTTATTTAACCATGGTTCAAAATTGCAAGGTCCGTCGACAAAAGCCCTCGAGTAGTTGAATAGTGCGACGTTAAAATTCACTCAAAACTCATTCCAAAACGTCATTCTCTAAGGTTTGTTTCAAACATTTAAAAAAATACTCTAATAAACATTTTAACTCTCTATTTTCTTATCACGATTCTACATTGAATACTACATTTTTTTATTCTGGTTGTTCTGCTTTCGCTTTACAACAACGACAGACCTTTCTACAACAAAACAGTGTATTACATCTCGAGCATTGATTAAGGAACCTTTACAATTTAAATGTCCGCTGTAGGACGAGAATGGGGTGAAACCCGGAAATCTAGAGAGACATTAAATTTTTCATCGAACAGAAACAGGCCTTGGTTTTTTTTGCTTTTATTGTCATCAGGATATAAACCAGACTTTTTGCGCATCCCCAGACACTGATCTCCTCTTTGTGCAAAAATAATGCTTAATTGACATGAAATATCTTTTAAAGATAAATGCATTTTCAGATCTTAGAAAAAAATCTGAAACTTTTTTTAAAAGAAATGTAGAACTATTATCAAATTTATTTTATTTATTGATCTTTTGATCTTTGTCATTTAGTTAACTTTTAACTTCAACTTTTAACGTCACTAGTACTCCAAAATGTTACGCCTGAGCATTGTGCGAGGTAATTTTTTTTAAATTTCATCTTATTATTATACAGACGAATACATATCGGTAGAAGTTTATTTCGGCTTCATCTCTTATTCAAACCCGTATCTATAGTGAGAAAAGTTAATTTGGCGTCACAAAACTGAATTACTGAACTAATGATAGGTATTAATTTTTATTTATATTTTTTTTAGAAAATAATGCGTTACTAGAAGCAAACTTTACCACTGCCACGCTGTGAGGCAGTCACAAAGGAGTATGCACAGTTGCGACAAAACCTTATAAGTTTTTATACATGTGTAATTTAAAATATCAATTTCTATCTATCCGCGTTTTTCCTAACAATATTCTTAGGGAATAACTTTCTTTAAACATTATTTAATTGAAAACTTCCTCCCGAAGAATCAGAGGCGAATTAAGTAAATTAAGTCGAATATTTAAGTATTAGCTTTCGGGCTTGAGTAGGAGAGACGCGGTTAGAAGCTAAAGGATAGCAGTGAAGATTAGTGTAAGATAAAGTAAAGCTAGGCGATAGCACTTCGTAGATTATTTGATTAATATTAAGACAGACATTTTGGTCAATTAGTTGATAAATTGGATTTGATCGGTTTGGATTGAATTACTTAGAAATTATCTTGAAATATAAGAAGGTGCATTGACTGGAAGTGCTAAGAGAGTGTAAGTGATCCGACTTATTATTTCTCTAGTAAATCTCGTCTACTTTGCTGTTGCTCTTATATTTATCAATTGGTACATTTCTTAACTTAGGTTGTTGAATTCATGTCGTTGTTGAAAATAGTAAATAAATTGTGCTGTTTTGATGACCATTGCTAGCTTTCCTTCTAACTCTCGTACGCTAATGGATGGGATAGCCCATCCATTAAAAGTATATTTTATTTTGTACTTAACATTTGATTTTTGCAACAAAAAAAAAAAAGAATGACAACTTGTGTACTTAAATTATTAAAATGACTTATCAGGGTTAAAAAAAATTCTGACTTTTTTTCTACGTAAACAACAAAATCCAGATCTTTCGATGCGACGATAAGTAATTTTATGATTAGAATGAAAATGAGGAATAATTTCTTATGACTGATATTCTCAGTACTAAGAATGAATAGATAAAAGGTGAGGTTCGAAGAAATGTAACAGACTGCATAGAAATGATAAATCTAATCAGGATTTTTTTTTACTTTGAACGGAATTCTAATCTCGTTTCATATATTTTTATTTTAACAGATAGTCTTTTATTTTCTTTTATATCATCAATGGTTTTTTTTTTTTACGAAAACATCATTTTTTTTTGTTCGATTTCGCAGAATGCCACTAAAATGCACTGATTAAGGTGGCTAACAAATGTATTGTTATTTCAAATTAACATGTTTTGATACCTCTTTTTTTTTATTAAGACTCTCTATATATAGTGCATGAGATTCCAAAGTCAATCTTAATTCATTCCATTTTCAGAAGAAACAAAAAGATTTTTTTTCACACCAACCAGTTTTTTTTTTAAATGTCAGACTAAATTCATTCATTCTTGTTTTTCTTATTTAAGGTGAGAAAAGGTTTAATCGTTTATACTTGTTCCAATTTATAAAATAATAATTGAAGTTTATTACGTTCGGAACCATGATTTTACAAAAGCGTATGAATAAATATTTCTTTTTATACTTAAGTATCAGTTCAATTAGAATATACATATAAAATAGTTTCAAAAGAATATGATTACAATAAAGATTATTTAAATGCAATATTTTTTTGGGAAGGGGGAGGCAGAAATAGAAAAAAATAACATATTTTAGAAATATTTTCCCATTATAGAAACACATTTCTACAATAATAAATTTTTGCTTCTATATAAATAACGTCATAAAAAATCTTTAAGTCAATTCCTACTTTATGGATGAATAGAAAGTATTTTATTAACGATTGAACATTTGAACACGATATATATATATATATATATATATATATATATATATATATATATATATATATATATATATATATATATATATAATTTAATTTAATTTAATTTAATTAATTAACCTTTACTTAATGAATTAATATTTTTAAAAAAACTATATTAATATCAAGTGTCATTCACTACAAGTTTAAAAAAATGTATTCGAACTTGATTGAATGAATAGAAAATTTTTTATTAATGATTAAAAATTTTAAGAAAATAAACCTTTAAATATATAAATCCCGTGTCACAGTGTTTGTCCACGATGAACTCCGAAACTACTCATCTGATTTTAATATAATTTTGCATATCATTCATCATTTCGTCCAAATTAAAACATAGGATAATTTGTATTTCATTTAATGGCGTCATAGTTTTTTTATTGCTGGAAATGTAAAGAATCCAAGAAACAGAACATTTTGCAAAATGTCGCAATGCACATGTGTCTACAGAAGCGGATTTTGAAGACCAAGGTGCACGAAAAGTAAGTGCCAAGCGTATTTCAGGCCTGGGAATCCGAATTTTGAATCGGTTTCCAAAAGTACCCATAACTTTGCTGGATGATGCCGGTCGACCGTATTTTAGACACACAGAGGCTGGGGCTCACCTTAAAAGCCTTGGAGCACGAAAACTTGGTATCCAGCGTATTTCAAAATGGGCAATCCGAATCTGATATCCTATCTGAGAAATTACCGTAACTTTTGCCGGATAATTCCGGAGGACCGCCCATTACGTGAGCCGTTGCATGAGCTTAATCTGGTGTATTTCAGGATGGTGAATGAGAATATGAAATTGAAATCTAGAAATTCCCGTAACTTTGCCTGATGATGCCGGACTACCGTAATGTCCCCTTCAGAGACTAAACTTGCAGGAATAGGTGCACTGAAAGTTGGTACCGGGTGCGTCTCGGTGTGGGGAGCAAGAATCTGGATTCGGATTTCAGAAACTCTCGTAACTTTGCCGAATTTTGCCAGAATGAGGTTGAATGGCTTTGTGTTTGACCTTGTGAGGCTTAACCTTGTGAAAATACGAATGCAATAGGAAATTGCATTGAAAATTACATTTTTAGGCATTGTTGTCACTTTGTTAGATGGTGGGCAACCTGCACCTTCTGAATTCAAGCTGCCATTAGACATTCATAAGAAACCAGACGCAATGCGTACCATTAGATAAAAAATAGATTGTCTACGGTTTTGCAAAGGAGTTCAATCCAAATCAGGGATGAGTGTACCATGATCCATAAATATTCAATCAAAGCGTTACATAGAACTTTGCAAAATTCAAACGGAAACGAGAAAATATTCGGTAGAGCTATCATACTACTGTCTGGTGATTTCCGACAGACATTACCAGTCATTCTTCGTTTTACTTTTGCTCACGAGATTAACGCATGTTTAAAACAATCGTTTTTAAAACACACTTCGATTGACCATAAACACGTGATGTAAGATGATCAGTTGATGCAAATATTTTCTAGCCAAATGCTGCATATTGGAAACGGTGAAGTAGAACTGCATCCCAATGCATAATGTATGAAATAGCCAGACAATTTCGGTACTGCTGTTCAGACAAAAAGAAACTGATTTAGAGTGTCTTCCTGAATATACAGTATAATAATATAGATAATTATTGACTCTGAATCCAG